TCTGACCTTTTCCAGGATTATGTCACCCTTAAAGTTTACTTGAGGTGATTTTCACTCAGCCTCATAATCTGAGCTGACCTGTGACAATGAAACTGTCACACGTCGGCTCAGTAGATCGGGAAGTGAGCGTACACATAGCGGCGCTCGCTCACTTCTTGATCCTGTCACTGCAGAGAGAGTGACTGTCACTCACGGCTCCCTGAAGGGATTCCCCCTCCCCTGTCCGATCCTCCGGCGCTGAATGGCGGAACGGACAGGGGAGGGGGCGGGTACAGCTGGTTCTGCCTCTGGATAGGCAGAGCCAGCTGTCAATCACACAGCTGGGTGGATCTCGACCACAATGTCAGGATCCGTTCCGGCTGCGGCGTCTCAGTATAACCCGCGGTATACTGAGCTTTGGGTGACGGGAGGACGCTAGTTTGTGTTCTCCCGTGACCCTTAGGAGAACTATGGGGAAAAGCCCTAACCCCATAGTTCTTCTTTAAGCTGCTCTTGATGGTTCTTCCTTGTGAACATCTTGGTTGTCTTCATTGGGCCGGAACAAGTAGAGGACTTTATGACTTTTCTCTGACTTTCATTTGTCACGCTTCATCAAAGTCAGGGGTTCAGAAGTATTGAAGGCGGGCCCAACCAGAAAGCTAGAATTTTCCGGCAATGGAAGGCCCCATATTTCTCCCGTATCTTGTTTTTTTTACGTCAGTGGATTAGACGATTTCCCCCCAGAATTGAAGATCTCATCATTTGAGTATTTTTCAGACCTTCTAGCTGATCTGTAATCGGCAGTCCTTCGAATGGAATTTGTACAATGAGGAAACTCACAATTTCTCTAGAAGACTGCATGACCACGCTTGAGGTTTTGTTCAGGATAAACAAAATAGTTGACAGGTTGATGCCATGAAAGAGTTTCTTCATTTCGAAGTTCCCCCAACATGACTTGAGTTGTCCAAACATACTTTTTAGTTGCGACGGGAAAACAATTTTTTCATGGCCCACACAACTCGATTTCCTTGAAACAGTCAAAGTGCATTCCAATGCAAATCAACAAGGTCACTTTGTTGCCCTAAGCTATGTTCTAGGCTATGTTCACCTGCTACAGTGATGTGAAATTCCTGGTATAGGGAGACATGTGAGTCTATCTCCTTCCCCATGTGACAGCCTGAGTGCCCAATTCAAAATCCAATTAGTCCCATTGCACTTCTGACCGGAGAAAAGCCCAGTATACAGGGTGGGTGCTAGAGCGTCAGCAGATGCCTCTGCAGATAACACGAAACCAACAAAAAGTCACTCGCACTCCAATGTGATGTCCAGTCAATCTCTTTATTGACTAAAGTGGTATAACATCTCCATGCAACGTTTTCGTTGGTTTCGTGCCTGAGTGCCCGGTCACCATGCTCAAGCACCGTCACCTTTAGACAGAACATACTCCGGGGACTCCCAGGCTCCCAAGAAGTCTTGCTTGTTTCCATATGCGGTGCTTGATTTGGACATATAACAGCAAAAAGTTTTCCCGGCACACTCACCAGCCAGCATGCAAAAAAACCTGTCTAACCACTAAGGTTAAAAACAGAGGTTTAGTTACACGTCTTCTGCAGAAAATGTGAAAGCCGCACAGCCACGTCAAGGCTCCTCTGTATAGTGCGGTCCTAACTCTAAACTACGAGAGTCTCCATCTTGGAGCACATGTGGCAAAAGATAAAATTGGGTGCAGGTTCGCCAGGAGGAAGCCCAACCTCCCTAAAAGCACAGGTACGCACAAGGGACCCCGCACATCACAACGGCAGCTGAGACCCACCCATGCGTCACTGCACCAAATCAGTCAAGCAAAACAAATGGCAAACGCACTCATCAATTTGTAACCAGCTCTAAGAAAGGTGCGCATGGAAGGGCTTTATTCAGTACAACAGCAAAAAGTTTCCCAGCACACTCACCAGCCAGCATGCAAAAAAACTTGTCTCACCGCTAAGGTTAAAAACAGAGGTTTAGATACACGTCTTCTGCAGAATATGTGAAAGCTGCACCGCCTCGTCAAAGCTCCCCTGTATAATGCGGTCCTAACTCTAAACTATGAGAGCCTCCATCTTGGAGCACATGTGGCAAAAGATAAAATTGGTTGCAGGTTTGTCAGGCGTTTTGCTTGACTGATTTGGACATATAACACGTGAAGTGACACATATATACCGAATCAAGCACTGTTGGCCCATAGAGTCCTCCTGGTGTCTGCATGTCAGATCGTCACTTTATCGACCTGATGAAGGGTCCCTGCGAGGTCCCGAAATGTTAGCTTTCAATGACATGCTGTGACATTCTTCAATAAACATATCAAAGAGATATTGATATTGGAACTTATCTTTGTGTGTGCCGTTGACCTACTGAGATTACCCTGAGTTCTGCACGGCACCATCCGTGTGATCACCATGAGCACCACCAGCATTAAAAGGTTGTAGACCGTAAGGAGTGCAGGTGGTTCTTGGAAACATGCATGTCAGTTCCGTCCTCAGAACCAGAACTCCCTGGTGTTCTAAGATACTTGTTGGGTCGGAAGCCTATTTTATAGGCTGTACTATTGGCCCAAGAGGGATGCATAGGCAATAGGAAGTGGGCAAGTTTTTCTTTTTTGCCTGCTCCCACCCATTGACTTGTTGACTTGTGGCCTCATCCTTAGAATTTGCTGGAGGAGTTGGTCAGTACTGAGAATCCTCTGGTACTTCATCTGGTTTTTGCGATGTATGAGTTTCTGCCCAAAACAAAATGAACACGTTTATGATCTTACCTAAATAAGCACCCAATAATTGCATCTTTGTTCTTTTTTACTTCAAGCCCATCTTCGGGCAAACCCAAAAGAACTACCCTGGCAGTGGGGCTACCCCTGTGCTGCAAGGTGTAAGTGCTTGTATAGGCCTGGGGGGCTTGAGTAAAGCACTTTTTATTACCTGATCCCCGCTTCTGCTGGTTCCATCTGGGCTGCTAGACCGGTCCCCGCAGCCTCTACTATCCTCCTTTCTGACAGTCTAACGATTGCTGATGTCATCATGTCTAATGAAGGTGCCATATACCTTAATTGGACGTGAGGACGCCAACGGACATTCCCCCCCGGTCTCCTAGGTATAAATGAGCACTTAACCCTTGCAGTGTGGAGTTCGTTTTTTGGCTTTAAATTGTGCTTTTTCTTTTGGACCAGGGGCAGCCTAAAACTATTGCCTTAGGTGGCATCTCTTAGGGTCAATGGGGGGCGGCAGGTAGAGCGGCATGGCTGCTTTGCTGCACAGTGTTTGCAGTGTTGCTGTTCCTCATCGGGAAGAAGTGTATGGCTCTTAGCAACCTGGGGCGCTCTGCCCGGCTTCCCACCCAGCTCCTGACAACCATTGAGGTCACTGATTGCCAGGATCTGGATGGGCACTGGCCAGAGCGACCACATCCCCACCAGCACCATAACCCCCATCCCGTCCCAGGCGGCAAATTGGATCGGGACACCCCTGACTCTGCCTATCTTCTATGGTGATTGTATCTGGTTACTGAATATCTGCCATAGTTGACTACATCTGAGTTGCTCCATGATCAGCAGCAGCTCCATTAGATAATATGAGGAGCTACTGAAGCTGCCGATCCTATAGCTGGCTCCGAATTCTGGAGGACAGCAGATCACCAGAACTTGTCAATTGAAAGTTTTTATGCCCGGAGATCAGCTTTAAGGAAAAGTAATTGCACTTATCACAACTTTTATCACTTCTGTACCACAAAATGTAGCACAAAAAACTTGCAGCAAAACCTAACATTTATTTTGTAACAATCTTGAATAGTAGACTTTTAGACTTGAGCAACAATCATGTGACCTGAATGTGTCCTGGATAGTTTTGGTGCTGGTTGTCTTGTACTGTAGCATGTAGCGTACGTAATGTTGAACCATGTCTTGATTTACTTCTACTGCTGTCTCTTTGGCGCAGTTTTTTCCCCCTGATATCTTTGTTCCAGTAATGCAGATGAGGCAGAAGGAGAAGTTTACAGAGAGGAAGACTTGGGCAACTAATGACCGCCTCTTGTACACATGAACTCTCTTATCTGTCTGCGGCAGATGGCACTTACAGTGAAGGGGATGAATTGACTGTATTTTCAGTGAATCCCCGTACATATTTACATCTCTCCGTCCACACCCGCGGCGTTATCTGCTGCGGGGTAACTTTATTGGAGTGCAAAGTTCTGCTAGGGAGATATCAGGCAAATGTGCCAATAAGACTCTGCAGAAGCCAGAAGGACTGATGGATAAGTAATATTTTCTCCTGGCCGCCCTGTAAGGGTCCTTGCTAAACCAGAATGCCCACCCATGGTCAGGAGCTTTTTCACCCTCAGGGCCTCGCCATCAGAGGGCTGGTAATTCTAACATTGCTCAAAGTGTTCTTACCATCAGCACTCCAGTCAACATGAAATATGGTCCAAAAAGTAAAAATCATCCAAGTGGCTCTGGGACTTCAAATACTTATTTGTGAGGAAGGAAGAAAAACACTTAGAGGGTTATTCACAAAGGAGCCGAAGGATAAAAGGGGTTCTAAACCCTCCGTTTTTTTTTGCCTATATCTACTGCTAGCAAGAAGTAGATATAGGCAAGAAGTTTAAAAAAAAAAAAAAAAACGCTTGAACTGTTTTTAAACTTACCTCGTTATCGCTGCTCGATCCCGCGCCGAGAATCAGGAAGTGATCGTACGGCCGCAAAGGATCTTGGGGCATGCGCAGTTCCGATTCTCGGCCGGGAGACGAGCAGAGACGCAAGGTAAGTCTATGGACGCATGCACCCGCCTGCAGACACCGCTGGATCGGAGAGACAGTGCAGTCAGCGCTGGATCGGAGTGACGTCCCACCGCTGGAGGGACACATGAAAACAGGTGGAAAGAAGAGGAAGATCAGAATAAGAGACATCATTTGAGGTAAGTGCTAACATTTACATGGGGGGAGGGGAAATTTTTTTTGGCTTTAATGTCACTTTAAGCCAAAGGCTAATCCTTCGGCCGATGGAGCTCTTTGGTTCAGCCGAACCAAAGGGACTGCTGTACAACCTATTCACAATATCCTGTACAGCAGCCGAACGGCTCAGCCAAGCCGAACCACATGCGTTCGGCACGGCTGAGCCAAAGACACAGCCGAAGCGGGAAGAACGGTCTGCCAAAAAGACCATTCTCCCCGCAAATGTGAACAACTAGACGGAGCTATTGGTGACAGTACTGCTGGCTCCGCCTATTTGTTTTGATTTGGCCTGCATCTGTCATATGGGTCAGCCAACTTGCTCACCCCACACCTTCACTGCGGCCACAGAGTTCACCAGAATTGGCTGCTCTTCTTAAACAGGGTACGGGATCTCCTCCACACCACATATCAGAAACAAAGACAAGAAAATCTAATGGGTTTATGCCTTGAGTTTAACCCTGGTTTTTATTCGGTTGCAACTGTAGTTGCCCCTGTTTTCATTTAATTTTGAATGTTACTATATGTTATTTAAATAAACAATTTTTTTATTAAACTTCAAGCCATGGTGTCATATCTCTCATGAAACCCCGGTATTTCCTCCTGTTGTTTTGTGATATTGTTCCAACAATAAAACTTTAATTAAAAGCATATGTGCTTTTAATTAAAGATTTATTGTTGGAACAATACCACATGGGGGAAAGGTGATTTTCTTGTTTTTGTTTCTTAAAGGTTTGACAAGCTCACATGGACCCCAGGACACTTTCATAGCAAGCAAAAGATGAATATTAAATGTTCGAAACAGTCTGAAGTTTCCCCAGTGCTGACTTCCTTTACCTTTGGCTTGGCACTCCTTTTGTGTTCTGCTGCCTTTTACAATTCCTACCAAACCAAACCCGTTGGGTGAGGTTGCAGGCACAAGCACGTTCAAAAACGAGTTGCGAGGTCACAGAAGTATACCAAGTTTTGGTCTCTGTACCTCGGCACAAGATGTGACCTTCTAGCATTGAGCAATACCCGTAGACTCGGCCAATCATCCGGCAGGTCACACATTCTTTCCAGACATGACTTGAACCTCCATGACTTCCCTTTAATGTCAGAGAAGTAAGAATCAGCATTTCCTCTTACAAGGGGATGTTTCTTCACTGCTCTTGGTGTTTTCCATGTAGATGCTGTTGTGGCAGATGTGAGCTGGCAACGTGCAGAGCAAACCACACTTTGTCCGGTTACAAGCCAGAGATTGTACTTGTGCTGAGAATCCAGTCGTATGTCTTCCTCTAGGACTGGTAGTCACCGGTGCATGGCACGGTCCAGCTTGCTCAAATAGTTTAAGATTCAGCTTTAGGTTTTCGCAAAGGGATACAAAAATGACATAGAATAGAATAATGTGCCGAGTTGTATAAAAAAAGAAATACTGTACGTTTAGAGGATATTGATGATAAATGTGCACACTGGAGATGTACTTGGTATTTTTGGTTCTAAATTCCTAAGCATGTGGTGTCACACAAAGAACACAGTCACCCATCAACCTCTCCTCATCCCCATAATTCATTTCCATAACCCCCCCTCCTCCTCTTCTCCTAAACCCATCCCTGTGTGTGCAGAAAGGCAGCCCAGGAACTTATCAGCCGAGACGATTTCTGGTAAAATCATCGGATGTTCTCTGCACTTATATCACCGATAGAACAAAATGGTATATTTAGCAAATAAGATCAATAATCATTTATATATATATATATATA